CTGGAAGGACCCCAGCACAGCAGTGAAGACAGTGAAAGCCAAGGTTCCCGTGATCTGAGGATGAGAAACAAAGCTAAGAAGTTGCAGTGACTGCCACCTGACCTCCCGACTTTGCCACGTGGACTCCAGCAGGCTCCTTCTTTCCCTCCCACAGCCGTTCATGGTAGCCTCGCTCAGCAGGGCTTGTCTTATTCTAAGGGAATGTGGAAGCTGTCCACAATTTTACATTGCTAACACTGAAAGAGAACGGAAAAAGCACAGCAGGACATCCAGGGTACAAACCTAACATTCCCCTTGTGTCTGACACACACGTGCACACACACACACACACACACACACACACACACACACACACACACGACAGGGAAGGGGAGCGGGGAACAAGGAGAGGTAGAAACCAAAGGCCAGGCAGATTTTGAACTCTCCGTTTTGTAGCTGAGGCTGATGTATAATGTCTGGTCTCTGAGACCTCACCTCCAGAGAGCTAGAATTACAGGCACACACTACCATACCCTGCTTATGGGCTGCTGGGACAAGCCCACCGTCATGATAGGCAAATGCTTCACCAACTGAGTTTAAGCCCCACATCAATATTTTTTTCAAGATTCAAAGTCAGAACTGAGAATCAGAATGGCGCTGAAGGGAAAAAGAACTCCCTGTGCAGAACAGTCCCGTGGGAGCGCCAGAAGAGATGGGACCTTTCCAGACCTTTCCACTGCACAGGAACACCCAGCGCTCGCCTCAGAGCCGTCCTGTTTGTTGCCATCTGTACCAGCATCCAGGCAAGAGAACTCAGGATTCACATTCGGCTGAGCATGGAGCTGTGAGTTAAGCTACACTGCTTTCTCTCCAAGGTGAGGACGCTACCCTAAGATCTCAGAGCATTAACTCATAATCAACTACTCAACCAGTCAGCTGACAGGAATCGTGCGCGCACACTCCCAGGCCCGGGTACTCAGAGCAGCGGCTGCAGAAAGAGCTATCCCTCAACATGGATGACCAAACAGGTTCAGTCACATCATGAGACACACCAGATACATCCAACACGCTAGGCAGCATCTCGAAAGGATAACGTGACCAAATATATTGGCTTTTTAAAAGAAAATAATTAAAAACAGCAGCAAGGGGCCAGGTGCGTCGGGACGACGCTGAGACGCTCTCCATACTACCCGGTAGCCTCTCAGACGTGAGGCGGGGCATAAACACAGCTTCAGAACCCGGAGCTGAGGATGCTTCCTGTGTGCCTAGTCGCTCCTTTCCGTGGATTATCTCAGTTATTCCTAGCATTAATTTTCCATTGATGCTATAAAAAATTCCTGCTAACTCAGTGGCTTTTAAGCAATTCAACCTAATTTATCCTATGGGTCTTCGGGTTAGAGTCTAGTCTGAGAGTCTGCGGACAATAATCAATATGTTATCAGGCTGTGTCCCCTTTGAGACCGAGTTGATGGTAGAATCCAGGTCCTCACGGTGGTAGGACCCTGAGCTTTCCGGCTGGCTGCATTTGGAGGTTGCTCAGTCGCAGAGGCTAGCGTGCTCCCTGGCTAAGGGTGCTCTTCCTGCATCTTTACAGTCCACAGTGACAGGTCATGTCCTTGTCAGGCTGCATCTCTCAGATCCTGACCAGTCTTTCACTTTCAGGAATTCATGATGTCAGATTTAACACCTCTGTGTAAGCCAAGACTACCTCTCCACCCGAATCCTTTTGCAGATACCATCCTCCACAACTTATCTAGGTGGTGCAGCCATATATTTAGGCTGGAGAAGTTTTACTCGTGATAGGGAAATTTCGTGAGAACTGCTAAGCACAGAAAGCCTACCTGCCTTCATCACCCATGCTAATGGCAAAGGGATTGCCATGGGCAGCTAGACAGAGCTAAGACAAGTTGTGAGGACCCAGAGGGGTTTCACTCAGTTCACGCTTTGGGTTCCTAAAGGCCTATTCTCCCCAAGACCCTGCAGATTGTCCTCATTCCCACTTGGGGAAAGGTAGAAATGGAAGGAACTTGGAGAGAAGACAAGTGAAGGAAAATCCTCCAGTTTTTCCTGGAAACTACATGGGCTGGGACTGCTAAGCTGGGAGCGTTTGCCAAGGTCAGTTTTTAGCTGGGGTTTAATACATTTTGGTTAGAGAAATTTGTTTCCACGTCCAATTTATAATATATTGCAGATAAGCATGAAGAACAGACTAGGCCAGAAGCCTGGGACCAGTGAGATGGCTCAGCAGCTACAGGCAGGTGCTGCCTAGCTTGTGAGTTACATACCTGGGACTCCTGAAAGTTGTCTTCTGTGACCTCCACATGTGCATGCACACACACCCACACTTGCACACACACCTACAGCCACACACACACATACACACACACACACACACATGCTCGCGCACACACACACATGCCAAAATGAAGAAAAGTTTTAAATGTAACATGGAAGAAGTAGAAGCTTCACATGAAACCACATGTGGTATTGTTTTGTGGCTAGGAAGTCATATGCCATCGACTGGCACAGAGAAGCAGTTGCGAAAGCCAGGAGCATGGAAAGGGGGTCCAGATGGCCTCTAGTATCCCTGTACCCCGGCTCCTTTACCTCTGAAGTGGTAGTAACAAGGGGTGATGGGTGGGCTTGTGAGACCGGCACACCTGGCTGAGTTCCGGATCATTGTAAAAACAGAGAGTGGAGGGCACAGAGCAAATCCCTTTCTACCTGGATCACCTTCATCTCACAGATTGCTCCTATGAAGCAACCTTCTATCAACTTTTCATATATCATTAATAACCTCCAAACAACATGGAAAGCAGGTAGGGCGATCTCCGCTCTTGACTGGGGAAGCCATGCCAGGGTGGGGAGGGGACATTAGAGGCTTAAGCACTCCCCACCCTAACTAGTCTGCGTAGATATCCTAGTATGAAGCATTTAAACTTCACTGCTAAACAAAAGAGCAGACTTTCCAGCACCGACTGATTGATTAGGAAGGGGGAATGTGTGATTTGCCTCCACACGCTGCCAAAAGCCAAACCAAAGGGGACTTTACACCTGGTTTTGGAAAAGACACTTCTCATACCATAGAATTTTCAGAATGAAAAGAATTTAAAAAGAGACAGATGTGTGTCAGATACCTTCACTGATGAACAGAAGAAACGGAGGACTGACAGACCATGCCCCTTGTCTGAATTTCCTGTGCATTGCGGGCATGTCCAGACTGACACTAACTTCCCTGGGCCACCATCCCCTCATTATCCCTTTCGTTCCAGCAGATTCCCAAGCCTAAAAAGCCCTGTTCTTTCTGTCAGTCAGTCCTTACACCTCCTGGGTTCTGATACTAGGCGGCTCCTTGGTTCTTGAAGACAGTTCTTTCAGTTGAGTATCTAAAGCCCCAGGGGATTTGCCAGAGCCTGAAGGTTGGCTCTGAGATGGTGCTTTTGACTAGGTCTTCTAGACATTGGGTATATGGATGCTGTCTTATCGTAGCTACTGAATCTGCACGCCATCCCTGCAGTTACTGATTTGCTGCCCACCGACGAATCATTATTATAGTTCTCCCTCTTATAGCTTTATCCTGAGCTATAGACCTCACAAAATCCTGATTCCAGGGTCATTCTTTAAATGTGCAGAATGCAAATACATCACTGACATTTAAACGTTTGCCCGCTAAGCCTTTCTAATGTTGCCTTTACTTACTCTCAAAGTCTGAAGAGATTACTTCATTCACAGACTGATAAAATAAAGCTAAGAGGGGGAGAAGAGTGGGGGGAGGGGGAGGGAAAAGGGAGGCTGGGAGGAGGCGGAAACTTTTTTTTTCTTATTCTCAATAAAATAAAAAAAAGGAAAAAAATAAAGCTAAGATAGTCCCTACAGACTCTAAGAGCCATCATTCGATCATAATATAAAAAACATGAGGCTCAGTTGATGTAATCTGAGTCTCAGGGGCACCCATAGTATTAGGTCCACACCCAAGGCTGGCATACGGTGTCATTCATGAAGGAAGGCTCAGGTCAGTATGTAAGGGTCCCACTCTTCTCAGGGGGTACAGATTCATCAGCTTCTATTACCATATAGGGAAGCTTGAAAACACACAAGAATGACATACCCTTTCGAAGGTTTTATTTGGAAAAGGATTCTGTCTGCAGAGAGGTTGAAATCCCAGAGACATGAAAACCCCATGGCCTCCCTCTGCTCACCAAGGATTATCTCACATTCCCCACATTAGTTTCTTAGTTAGGCTGAACTGTTTCAAAATAAGCTGCGGATTATTTTTGTCTGATGGCTTCGATAGGGACAGGCACTTTCCTTAAGGACAAAGACATCTTCCTGTCTGATTGCGATATTGCCAGACCCAGGAATACAACACTGAGTACACTAATGTCACCTAAGGGTCTGACCAGAGCTGCGTTCTCCAGCGTGCACTCTATCTTCCCGCGGTCTGAGGTCACCAGCCACAATGCCGTCAGTTCTCAGCCTCTTAAATTAGAACAGATTTCCCCTTTCGACTTGGCATTTTTGAACATTCCAGATCTCTTTAAGGTTAGAGTCCGGTGAACCTGCCCTAACTTGGGGGGCAGTAGCACACTTCTCCAGTGACAGGCTATACATTGGCACTTGGGCAAGTTACACAGATTAATCAAAAACCAGCTAATGTCCTTAAAACTCTGATTACTGAATAAGAACCCAGATTTGCTAAACAGCCAAGTGGATTAGTAATTGACCAAGTAAAGAGATAGCTTGCATCTGCGGTAAGTGCATCCAGTGTCACCAACAGTTTTATGTACTCGCTGACTTGAACAGATTCCCAATCTCCTCAACACTAAATCAAATGAACCCAAACTTGCTTTACCTTGTCTTCTGACATTGTGTGTGTGGGAGTTGTCCTCTTAATCCCAGGTCCTGGACTGAATGTGGATGAGCTGCTGACCAGCCAGAGTCCTCGGCCCTGCCTGGTTATACATTGTAGGAGGAGGAGCAAGCCGAGGTGAGGCTAGAATATTGATGGTACTCCAATCAATGTGCCCTTTACCTCGGTGACCTGTTCGCCGGCAAAGAAGTGAGGGTAGGTGTAACTTAAGAACCAGAGGCAGGCACGTGCTAAGGGCTGGTAAGTGTGGCAAAAGAGCAGCCCGTGGGGTGTTTCGGAGAAGCTGAGGTATGCCGTGTTGTGTGGCAAAGACAGCGGCAGGAGTGTGGAGGGTGTAATGCAGTCTGCTCTCCGGAGGACTGGGGGCTGTGGGCTTGTGCTGTAGAGATGGGCTCTGTGGCTAAGGACTGGAGACATCAGTCACCTGAATGAGGTTTGGAGAGGCGTGGGCTGGACTTTGAATCACAGTATCTTACTGAGGGTCACCTTAAGCAAGGGAGTCACTGTGACTTTTCTGAGTCTTGGGTTTGTATTGTTGCTTGTTTTTTGACCTGATAAAGAGATAAAAAGCACACACATATTTTTTTTTGTTGAGGGGCTTAAAGGAGATAACACGATATGTGTTTGGCACAACCTAGGTTCTCCATAGATGGTGGTGACACACTTTCTGTTGTTGTTATCAAGTCAGTGTATTTCAATATATGATTGCAGAACCAGATGTGGCACACATCTGTAAGGCTAGCACTGCCACCACAAGAGGGCTGTGAGCTGGAGGCTCATTGGAGTATATGGGAGTTGCCGGCTAGCCTTGGCTACATAGAGAGACCCTGCCTAGGGGAGGGAGTGCACTCAGTGTGATAGCCTTGGGTTCTCAGTGAACCCTGATTATATGGCTTCAGCCTGCTTCTTTCTAGGAATCCCCCGTGACATCTGATCCAAGAATAATGGGGGAGGGAGCAGAGTTAGTTTAGCTCTCCTTGTAACTGGCAGCGAGGGTTGCTGAGTTCCGCAGAGGTCCTCTTGAGCCAGTGTACCGCAGAGGGAATGGAAGAAGCAACAGCAAAAGGGCGGGAATGCCAAGGTGGAGAGGAAGCTGCATTTAATTTGTCTGCCATTTCCCCCACCTCTCCTCATTTCCCATTTCCATCTCTCTCTCCCTCCCTTCCTCCCCAACCCCGTGTGTATGTGTGTGTGTGTGTGGTATATATGTGTGTGTGGTATATATATATGTGTGTGTGTGTGTGTGAATATATATGTGTGTGTGTATGTGTGGTATATGTGTGTGTATGGTATATATATATGTGTGTATGTGTGGTGTATATGTGTGTGGTATATATATGTGTGTGTGTATGTGTGGTATATGTGTATGTATGGTATATATATGTGTGTGTGTATGTGTATGTGTGGTGTATATGTGTATGTGAATATATATATGTGTGTGTGGTATATATATGTGTGTGTGTGTTATATGTGTGTGTATGTGGTATATATGTGTGTATACTCCTCTGGGTAGAGGCCAGGGATTGATGCTGAGTCTCTTCCTCTATTACCCTCTATCTCATTATTTGAGACCGGAGCTCAGAGAACCTAAAAGCTCTGAGTCTGGGAGAGGCTGACTGGTCAGTGAGCTCCAGGCATCCCCCCAGATCTGCTCCAGCACAGGGATTACAGACATTGCCTGGATGTGTGTTGGAGACTTGAACCCAAGCCCTCTTGCTTTCACAAGTGCTCTTACCCACTGAGCCATCTCTTCAGGCTCTCATGTCTGAAAGGTAAAAACACGTGAAACACCCAGTTTTAGAAAGCAAATAATTCAATTCAAAGCCCAAACGTCAGTGGAGCTCAGCATGTTTGTGTCCTCTAACACGCCACAGAAGAGAGGCAGCCTCTTCATGCCTGGACTTCACATGGAAGTGGGGTCATAGCCTGCATTGTCTCTGAAGGCAGGCTCAAGAGTGCTAATATAGCAAGGCCTTAATCTTTAGTGTTCCCTCCTAGGCCAGTTCCTGCTTAGCACCTTCCAGGGCTTGGGTGGTCTAATCTTCACAGAGTGCTCCCCTTTGGCACCAGGCCTTATATCGCCCCTTGATGTGCTGGCCCGTACGTGTCCTGTCCTCAGCACCACGGATGACCCGCCTTGGCAACCGTTGTCCGCTGACTTGGCCCTGCACAGATCACACCTGTGCTGGTAACAGGAAGGAGAGCTGTCCTGACGGGCTTTTCTACCTTTGTCTTTAGAAGTCTGCTTTGAAGTAAAGGCATTTGTCTTCGTTGTAGCAGCTGCTGGAAGTCCAGCCGGGTGCCCAGAGACTCTGCTCCTCCCCCACTGAAGATGCCGCTCATCTGGACTATTCAGCTTCTGGGGGTGGGTTAAAACTACCTGTAGGTTGAGGATGGAAGAAGCATACTGCACAGGTTGATTTTTGTGGCTTACTTCAGACTGCAGACCGGCCTTGTGGTGAGCTGCGAATATAGTTAGCTTCAGGAAGCACAGAGGAGCTGCAGACTTCTGTGGGGTAAAGTCTGAAGGCAAGCCTGACTTTTTGCACTTTGCCCTGGAATGACGTCTATGCACTGAGTGCCCACAATCACTCCGAGATTCCCTGCTGCGGCGCCAAGGCAGTCTTGCTTAGTTTCCATCTGTCTCCGTGCACCCGTGCAGAGATTTTGGGCAGGGACAACCAGTACTGGGTACTAGGGATTGTGTTCAGGTCCTTCTGTTTGCAGAGAACATGCTCCTACCCACTAGGTGGTCTCCACAGACCTGGCTTTATACTTTCAAACCTTTTGGGTCACATTCTTGTTACATCACTAATTAAGAGAGGAAATTCCAAGATTTGTAATTAATGACCTCACCTGCCTTTCTCACCTTCCTTATCTTTCAGTAAAGTGAGAGGAGTTAGTTTTTTGTTTTCTCTATAAATGAGAGGGGAGGAAACAGCCCAGAGAAGCTGCATTCCTCGCTGATGGAGTCAGGTACAGGTAATGGCAAAAGGAATGCGTGCAAACTTGACCATACCAAGAGGACAAGGGCTCATGGGAAGAGCTCAGTCCTGAAAGTCAGGACTCCTGGCCTCCCTGGTTCTCTTGTCCAACTGCACTTTCTTGACATGGAAATCAGGATTGATTTTGAAAGCTAAATTACATCATGAAACATGTTTGCAAGTTCCCAAGGTCCAATATCACAGACAGTAGAAAGTCCTCAGAGATCAAATTTCCAAGACAGCAGGAAGCTCTTTTTCTGGAGGTGGACCTGACTCTGAGGCTGTCTTTCTTACTCAGGACTCAGTCTTCTGAATTCTGGGGTCTGTTATAGTACCAGGGAGACAGACAGCAGCCATGGATGCCCAGGACTGTGTAGACCGCGGGAGTGGGCTAGAGTTCACGTGATTGACAATGGGAAATCACCCATGAGAAGAGGCATGGGAGTACTACAGTCCACTGTTCATTTTAAGAGTACTTCTGATGGCTGGGTATGTAACTCAGTGGACAGAGTGCCTGCCTGGCGTGCACAGAGCTTTGGTTGGATATGATCCCCAGAACCTCAGAAACTCTGGCTGTGGTGGCACATGCTTTGTATCCCTGTGCCTGGGAGGAGAAGCAGGAGGATCAGGAGTTCAAAGTCATCCTCAGCTACTTGGGGAGTCTCCAAACCACTTTGAAGCCCTGTCTCAAACAACAACAACAAAATAAAATGAAAAGACAATCCCCGCTGCTGTATAAAGGGTAGATTGGATGGCGGCATCAACAAGAAGGAGACGCCAATCACAAGAGCACTGTGACCATTCATGCTTGCTTCTGGCTGCCAGAACTAATGGTAGGGGAGAAAGAGAAGTAACAAACCTCAGGGGACATTCGCTGTATAAAGAGAGTGGTATTTGTATATAACTGAGTTTAGGAGAAGTGGGGACGGAGATGACAAGTTGCTTTCTTGCTTGCTAACCTGGGTTAACAGGTACCATTTGCAGCTTCCTTCTTGCTAAGCTGGGGTAATGGGCACTATTTACAGTTGACTTCTTGCTAACCTGGGGTGACAGACACATTTACAATTAGAGAAGTTAGAGGTTTAATCATCTGAGTAGTGACCTAGAACGCCCTCCGGGACCCCATACAATGAAGCAGATGTACTTTGCTGCACTTTGTAAAAGATGAAACTTTCTGAGGCATTCACCAGTCTGCATGCAGTTCTGCCACGTAACACAGAGGGCCCATGAGTGCTTTGTCCTGGTTCCCCTTATAACATCATGTAAGGCCATGACTGTATATCATGACCAGGCTATTAATCTGAGTGGCCAAGGTACAGTTCACAGTTCACCCCTGGTGACAAAGATCCCCGCCTATCTTCTGTAACCCTGACCCATTTCCTCTTAAGTGTCCGGACTTTAAGTCTGGGCAGTCGCCCTGTTCTTTAGGTGTATCAGCCGACCATTTTGACTGTGATTTAAAACATGAGGGAACACTCAGCTTTATTCAAGATGGACCAGGGGAGATGCAAGTCCCAACTAAGTGTGCCTTCACAGGCACCTCCCCAACACGTTTGGCTGAAAACCTGGATGCCTGTGATCTAGGAAAGTTGTCATAGCAAATTAATCATTATCATATGTTGTGTTTCCTTCTCCAACTCAGGAGAATTCCCTCAAGTTACCCTGTTCACGTGTGTCAGCAGTTTTCACTGCTGCACAGTGTGCCACGGTACAGCTATCCTGCAGCTGACTGACGTAGCTATCCTGCAGCTGACTGACGTGCAGCACAGTCTGCCATGGTACAGCTATCCTGCAGCTGACGTGACTTTGATGTAGATCTGAAAGTTTCCAGTATTTGGCAGTTAAGCATAAAGCTACTATGTACTTCATTTAAAAATACCCTTTGTGAGAACATACATCTTTTTATTTTCTCCATAAAAATGTTGTTGTAAATTATTTGCTGGTTAAATATTTAGAATTTCTTTCTTTTCTTTTCTTTCTTTTTCTTTCTTTCTTTCTTTCTTTCTTTCTTTCTTTCTTTCTTTCTTTCTTTTTTGAAATTTTGGGACTGTTTCCCAGCAAAATGAATTAGTGTCTTCATTTTCTCTTACAACTTCACTAAAATTTGATATTGACTTAAAAATTAAGCCTTTCTGAAGTATGCATAGTGATACCTCATTTTGCTTTTAATCATAATTTTAATTTTAATATTATTTTGTAGGTACAGGTGTTTTGCCTGCAATGTATTTCTGCGTACCCAATGCGTGACTGGCGACCTTTGGGGGAGGCCAGAGACGGTGTTAGTCCTGGGGAACTGGAGCTACAGACAGTATTGCACTAGCATGTGAGTTCTAGGAATTGAACCCAGGTCTTTTGAAAGAGAAGCCAGTGCCCTTGACCACTGACCATTTCTCCAGTTCCCTAATGAGAATTTTCCAAGGCCAGTGATGTTGAATATCTTTTCCTTTACTCGACACCTGCATATCTTCTTTGGTCGTTTTCTGTTTTTAAAAACACATTTATTAGTGCGTGTTGCGTACCCTTTTCCACTGAGCCATCTCCCTTGGCCCATTTGATTAATTTTCTAATTGGATCTTCATTGTTGTCTGTTATATGTTTCTTTTTAGATCTGACAGCTTGTTAGCACCTTTACATACCAGACTGAATACTGAATATATATTTGGCAAATGTTTTCTCCTACTTTTTTAGCTTTCATCGTCTTAATGGAAGTTTTCCAAACAAAATGTTTTGATTTTGATGAAGTCTAACTTACTAATATTTCTTTTTATGACATGGCATCTGAGAATTTTAGCCTTTGTTTTCATCTCATTTTCCCCCCTATATAACCCACATTACCTAAATGGTTCACATTTATTTTCAGTCTGTAATTTATTTTGAGTGTTTTTGCTTTTAATAAAATGTATGACCTTGTTTAGGACTCCTTGCCCCATGGCTGTCCACTGCCCAGCACCACTTCTTCCTCCCTGAATTGCTCCTACAGTGCTCAAACTTCGGTGTTTGCTTTTGCTTTTCTATTTATTTATTTATTCGTTTGTTTGCTGTGGGGTGGTGGTGCATGCTTTGGTGCATGCTGTGCATGACGAAGGACAACCTGCAAGAGTTTGTTCTCTCCTTCCACCACCTGAGTCCTGAGGATGGAACTCAAGCACCTTTACCTCCTGCTCCCTCTTGACGTGTCAGGTGTTGTAATTTTCCTTTCCTTTCCTTTCCTTTCCTTTCCTTTCCTTTCCTTTCCTTTCCTTTCCTTTCCTTTCCTTTCCTTTCCTTTCCTTTCTTTTCTTTTCTTTCCTCTCCTTTTCCTTTCCTTTCCTTTCCTTTCCTTTCCTTTCCTTTCCTTTCCTTTCCTTTCCTTTCCTTTCCTTTCCTTTCCTTTTTTTTTTTTTTTGTACTGGGTTCAAACCCAAAGCCTTGAACAAGTGAGTTGGATATCTGTCTGTAGGTTTATTTGTGAGTTCTTTTGTTCTATGTCCATTTCTTCACCAATACCTCCAGGTCTCATGTATGTATGTGTGTGTGTGTGTGTGTGTGTGTGTGTGTGTGTGTGTATGTATGTACATTGGAGGCTTATTATTTTCGCTCTGTTTTTTTCCTGAAAATGTTTAGTGCTGTTGCTTTTCTGCAAAACCTTTAGAATAAACTTGTCTATATCTGCCCAAGGATTTTGATGGGAATTGAATTAAGCCTGTGTAGTAACCGCACAACTGACTGTCAGCTTTGCTAAATTGAGCCTTCCAACCCGTAAACGCACTCTATGTAACCGGTTCTGATCTCTTTGATTAACCTTTCCCATTTTTAGCGGACCAAGCCTTGAGTGCGTTTTGTTAGATGTACAAGCAGCTCTATTTTCCTTGGTAACAGCAGAGGGCATTCTGGTAACAGCAGCAGGAGTGGGAGCCAGCCACCACTGTGGGCAGATGCTGTGACAGTTGGAGGTCTTCCTAGATGACTGTACTCAGGTGAACCTGGGACTCTTGACTTGTGACAGACAGGAATTTCAGAACTGTCATGATGAAGCCACGTTAGTGTTTATTAAGATGTTTCAAACAGCTTTTTGAAGGGGCATGAACGGAAAGAGAATAGGGAAGGGGGAATACACAGTAGGTGTGGGTGGGCGTGCTTCTCTAGACATTGCTGGGCACGGTGCCTGATCATGACCGTGTGTCTAACTGGGCATCTTCTGAAGTTGGATCTGAAAGGATCGCTGCTGTGGAATTTGGTTTTCCAGTGTTTAGGTGCATTGGATAGGAATACAATCTGAGAAATCTGAACCATGGGGCACAAGGTCGCACAAGAGGATTGAGACAAGCCTTCTACTGAAAATGGAGTTTATCATCTTGATTGTGGCATTCCCGGTGCAGGTTTACATCTGGAAAAGGGAAAAGCCACAGTCAAAGGTCACACATGCTTAGCCTGAAGCATGGCTCACTGCTATTTTAATATTCTTAATTCAGAATGTTTCTATCCAGAATGGATGTTGCTTCCATGTAGATAACCCTGTGCAGAAATTCTTGGCTTAGCCGGTGAGGGGCTTCGAGTAGATTGAAAGACAGAGAAGCCCCTTTCCTTGTGTTGCTTGTGTTTCCTGTCCCTATCCTGTGGGAGTGATTTCTTATTAATAAAGAAACTGCCTCGGCCCTCATAGGACAGAAAATTAGGTAGGCGGAGTAGACAGAAGAGAATGCTGGGAAAAAGAAGCTTAGTGAAGGAGTCGCCATGATTCTCCCACTCCAGACAGACGCAGGTTAAGATCCTCCCTGGTAAGCCAGCTCGTGGGCTACACAGAATATTAGAAATGGGTTAGAACAATATGTAAGAGCTAGCCAATAAGAAACTGGACCTAGCCGGGCCAGGCAGTGTTTGAAAGAATACAGTTTCCGTGTAATTATTTCTGGGCATAAGCTAGCCATGCGGGCGGCCGGGTGCCGGGGACGCAGCCCTACCGCTCCTACTTCAACACTATCCTGCTGTTGTACTGGGTTCTACGTTTTGATGCCCACGCGGTCACTGGAGCTTATGAGGTGATGGCGTCATTGAGGCTGCAGTGCAGCTGTTCTACCAGCTGAGATGGGGATGCTGAAGTCCGCAGTTATAACTGGGTTTGCTCCTTATTGCCAGGCGAAGATTGAAGCCCAAGTTACTGATTCTGCTCCTACTGACACCATGGTAGGGAGGTTTCTCATTAAAGTTGGGTAAGCATGCGATTTCCAGCTCCTGGCATGGTATTTAGGGCACCGTGGCAGAGACAGCCATTTTTAATGGTGGACAAATGGTGAAATCATAACTCTCTACCACACATCCTCTGACAACGGCTCCAGAAGTGTGTGTGTGTGTGTGTGTGGAGGGGGGTGCCTTGTTACTGCAGGTGACAGCCTGTCGGCTGGAGCCTTGTTATACTGCAGCTAAACACACTGACCTCCCATTGGCTTTTTCTTGCATCACCGTGGCAGGGATTTCAGGTCTCTTTTGCTTTTGTTGATCTTGAGAATTTCATATATGCCTATGATGTCTTTCAATCAAATCTCCATCTCTCATTTCTTCCCCACCAATTCCTCCCCTCTCTCCACAGCCACCACTTTCTCTCCCAACTTTGTACACTTTTAAAAGATACATTATATTTTCATATATATGAGTGTTTTGCTGGCATATATGTATTGCACTCAGTGTTTACTGGGTATTTGTGGAGGCAAGAAAGGGACATCAGATGCACTGGGACTAAGTCCACTGCCATGCGGGTATTGGGAGCTGAGCCTGAGTCCTGTGCAAAAGTAGCCCTTCCTCTTAGCGATGAGCCATTTCTCTAGTCTCAAATGCCATTTATTTATTTATTTGTTTGTTTGTTTATTTATTTGTAAAAGCATTACAGGAGGTAGCCTCCTAAAGTCCACATTCCTGAAAAGACTTGCCTTTCTCTGCCAGCAACATCCCTAGCAATGGGTGAGACTTTGTAAACCCTTTCCTGATCCATGAAGAGATTTTGACTGGCTTGATCTGTTTTAAGTCTTGTGCATACAGTCACAGTTACAAATGCTATGTGTCCATGTGTTCGACAACACTGACATATCCAGCAGATACTGTTTCTCTACAGCCACCCACCCCCAACTCTTACAACTTTTCTGCTTTTTCTTTGGAAATGATCCCTGAGCTTCATGGGGACGGGGTAGGATACTGATGTCTCATTTAAAGTTCAACACTCCAAAGTAGTGACCAATTGTATATGTCTGTATTATTATTATATTGTTGTTGCAACATCATGAGGCAGAAGTCTAGGCTCCTATGGGTCTAAGCACAGGTTGGGCCCGCTGTGTTGTACTATATATTATATTTGATGGTAGTTGGCCAGAATAAAGAAGTTATTGTATAAAAGAAACTAAAATAATATTTCTTAGCTTCTTGTATTTGTTTTATGTTAGAGTCCAGGGGTGTTGTGTTCAGCAGAGGAGTTGAGTCAAGGGTATATATTCTAATTTCCCAGGAATAGAAGTCCTAGTCTACTTTCTAAAGACCTTGAGTTGATAAAGAGAAACTGTGCTCTGAACAGCTTCAGGAACAAACCTAACTGGGACAACAAGGAAGTGAAGGCAGGATAGACACATATTAAAAGCTAGGATCTCATGGGCTGTATTCTCTCTGATGAAGCGCACCAACTACAACAGCAACCCAAGTACACCTGTAGTTGATAGTATGATGTAAACTTAACCATCCTTTTACTTTCACAGCGTCCCATAGAAAGAATATTGCCCCCATGACAGCTGGAAGTAATTCTACAAGACGACGTCCCCTTTCCCAACAAAGTTTGTCTTCAGGGTTAGGGACATCATTTAGGGGTTGATTATAATTGTCATAGGGTTGGGGGTTAGGGGGAAATTTTGTAGGCTCAGGGATCTTTTGGGGGAAAAAAGGTGAAAATTGGATGGGATAATAGATTAGTGTGAGCTTACTTACACTAATAATAATAGTGAGTAATAGAGTGAATGCTTGTGAGCTATTTATAGGTAATTTACATTGGTGTAGATTATTGTATATTAATACAAACTTAAATTATTTTGAATATGTTTCTATTTTATTATTTATAGGAAATTTACATTGGTATAGATTCTTGTATATTAATATAAACATAAATTATATTTAATATGTTCCTATTTTCATCCACAATATTTTTATACCTAGGCAAGGCTAATTTGTCATATTGTATACATACATGCTTCTACCTATGCTTAAAACATTTTTGTATATTGATACAATTTTAGGATATATTTATCATATTGCTATGTATATTTCTACCTCTGATCAAGATACTTATACATTATTTACATTTTGAGGTCATTGTTTTCATTTGTTGCATAGTTGTTTATTGTATAATATTCTAATATGAAGTCTTAGTCTTTAAGTTACATAGGTATTAAGAATTATAGATCAATAGTCACCTATGTTTGTCATACTTATAGTTAGGCTAATCAGGTTCTTGAGATACATAAAGATTGTATTCTGCATAGATAGATAATCTTCAGCCACTTCAAAGAGCTGTAGAATATGGCATTTAAATAACTTAGGGTTCTGTTGACTTGAGACACAATTGCTTCTGGAAGCACCAATCTATTCCTGAGAGAATGTTGAGCACTGAAGACACTCCACTTGCAGTTTGTTTTCTTCTTGGCACAATTGGCCTTTGGGCAAGGAACTGCCCATGCCTCAACCACTGACAAGGTACATGGTATCCGGAAAAGGATAAAAAAGACACAAGAAAACAGACTGTCAAATCTTGCCAAGACAAGGTAAGATGGTTTTAAAAAATTTCCTTCCTCTAAAAATGGTCTGTCAGTTTCGCTAGGGCTTAGCCAAAGTTGGTTGCTTCAACATTGCAAATGAGACTTCGGGTGATAGCCTAGGTAGCCTGTTATCTCTGTCATTTGTTGTACATTTTTGAAAGTTACTTAATTACATTTCCTGCTTACTCAAGTAATATTATTTCCCTTCTTGTATTTTACATGGGGTTGAAGACTAGATAGTTGTAGTTACTTTCCTCTCATGACTTGGTCAAGTTATTTATTATACAAAACTTAAGCTCATTATGATAGGATAATTATTAAAACATTTATCACGTTTCTTGCTTGATATATTTGTTCTTATTGTATATAATTTTGTATTAGGCTTAGAACTCTATTATTTGAACAAAGGGGGGAGGTGCTGTAGGAATTCCTACTGCCAGTAGCCATTCCATTTGGGCATGGCCTCTTATACTATTTATGCTGATATAAAGCATGTATCCAGTCTCTTTTCTGGCTGAGGGATTTGGTTGCTGTTTTCTGTTCCAACAGAGAATATTGATTTGTGTGTCTACCCTTAAATAAATAACCGTCTATTTCTCAATTCTGAGCTAATGTGGGATTTCTTTTAAGAAAGAAATTTACACCTTCATTTACAACTGAACAAGGAGGCAGGTTTATGGTTTATAGCTGGGCAAGGGGTCTGGCTTAGCTAGTCTCAGGAGGAGGTCTCTGTAGAGTGGCAGTCTCAAGTTGTAAACATCTATGAGGAGGAAGAAGTGGTTATAGTTTATGTACATGCTGATCAAGAAACACTCATACATGGACCAGCGTAAGATTTAGCATCCTTCTGAGCCACATTCAGGGACAGGCTCTGTCATTTTGTCACTCCAGTCTGAGGCACTGGAGTCCTTTGAGTGATTATGCCCGTGCCAAACAATACACATTCACTTAAGACTTCATCCACTGTCCACAGAAACCCAGGAGATTATAAAGTACACTTCATGGTGAATCTGGGGGTCTTTTTCAAAGAAGAGTAACTATGGAAAAAGACTTGAGTTAACTGATACCTCCTGAAGACTAGAGACTCAAATGGTATAAAAGAAAAACAAGGAAGTAGCCCATGGTTGTCATGGTGTGAGGTGCTCCATCGAGCCCCCCTTTCCAACAATAGACCCAAACTGCTGTAATGATGAGAAAACATATTTTCTCCCTTAAGTTATCTTGCTAAAATACTTTGTCACTGCCATAAAGTCTGTCAAATACACGGTGCTCAGCTGTCATTCCTAACCATGGATAACAGGAAAACCAGGGCTTAGCATCATTGCAATTCTGCTCCTCTTCTCTTCAAACTCTTGAACCATAACTTAAGAAACATGTACATACAAGAATAGTATTTAATATTCTAGAGGTGCTTCAAGCCACAAAGCACCTCACACATGTCATTGTATTGAAAATATGTTTTCCAGATCCATCCATTTTCTGAAATTTTCATAATTTTATTTTTCTTTACTGCTGAGTAGAGTTCAAATGTGTCAATTTATCACGTGTTCATTACCCATATGTTGAATAACAAGAGGTTCCTGTTGGCTTCTGGACCTGTAGGACTTCATACCCCAATACTTCCTGCCCCCACATCAGGCATAGACCTCTCCTTACAAGTTACTCCTTCCCCCAACCTTACCCTCACCCTTGCCCCCACCCCCATGCTCACAACTTTTGCCCAGCAATCTTGTTTGCTTCCAATTTCCAGGAGGATCTATATATGTTTTTCTTTGGGTTCACCTTGTTATTTGGCTTCTCTAGGCTTGTGAACTATAGGCTTAATGTCTTTGTTTATGGCTAGAGTCCACAAATGAGTGAGTACATACCATATTCATCTTGTTGGGTCTGGGTTATCTCACTCAGGATAGTGTTTTCTATTCCCATCCATTTGTATGCAAAATTCAAGATGTCATTGTTTTTACTGCTGAGTAGTACTCTAATATGTATATATTCCACACTTTCTTCATCCATTCTTCCATTGAGGAGCATCTAGGTTGTTTCCAGGTTCTGGCTATTACAAATAATGCTGCTATGAACATAGTTGAACAAATGCTTTTGTAGTATGATTGGGCATCTCTTGGGTATATTCCCAAGAGTGGTATTGCTGGATCCTGAGGTAGGTTGATACCAAATTTCCTGAGAAACCCCCACACTGATTTCCAAAGTGGTTGCACAAGGTTGGATTTCCACCAGCAATGGATGAGTGTTTCCCTTACTCCACATCCTCTCCAGCATAGGTTATCATTGGTGGGGAGAGGAAAGGGAAGGGAGAAGGGAAGGACTGGCAAGAGCTTGGGGGAGTAGGAGGGTGGAGATGGAGGAAGGGCGGATATAGGAACAGGGAAGAAGATATCTACATTAAGGGAGTCATTTTAGGGTTGTCAAGATTCTTGGCTCTAGAGGGGTTCCCAGGTGTCCATGGGGATGTTCCCAGCTAGGTCCTTGGACAGCAGAGGAGAGGGAGCCTGAACTCTCCTTGCCCCATAATCACACTGATGATTATCTCGAATATCACCATAGAATCTTCGTCCGGCGACGGATGGAGATAGAGACAGAGCAACGGACTGAGATCCCAAGGTCCACTTGAAGGAGGGAGATGAGCAAGGAAGTCAGGACTGCGAAGGGTTGGTCCACCAACTGAGGCAGTGTGCCTGTTCTAATGGGAGCTCACCAAATCCAGCTGGACCAGGTCTGAATGAGCATGTGATCAAACCGGACTCTCTGATTGTGGCTGACAATGGAGGCTGACTGAGAAGCCATTGATAAAGGCACTGGGACTTGTTTTTACGGCATGTTCTGGCTTTTTGGGACCCTAGTCTATATGGATGCATAGCTTCCTAGGCCTGGATATAGGGGGGAGGGCCTTGGACTTCCAATAGGGCAGGATTCCTGACCCTCTCTCAAGCAGGGAAGAGGAGGGAGGAGGGGGAGTGGGAGGGGATTGGGAGGAGGGAAGGAAGTGTAAATATTTGAATGGAAAAAGAAAAAAAGAAAAGAAAAATAAGTTACTCTTGTGCTTTTGGTCGCTGAGGTCCAATTTCTCCTCAGTCTTTTCCCTCAGTGTGACACATAAATCCGCAGGCAAATAACACACAGTTTCTCAATCCAAGCCTAGTGTCTGGTCACCTTGTGAACTTGCTGAATGTGGTTAGGAAGGAAGGGAGGTTCACCTTTCTGGAATATTTCTTCAAAACCAGAGGCATCTAATGAACTCATGCACACAAAGCTTTAGCTTTGGAGCACGTGACACCAGGGAGGGGAGGCCTGGCTTTGTCCTTTGTTTGCAGGGGCTGGGTCCTTGAGCGTGGACAAGTCTTTGGATATTATCTGTAAGACAGCCCAGGTGAGCTCTCATTATCTGCCCATGCAAGATGGGAACAATGTCGGCTCCGTGGCTTGCTCTAGAATGAAATAGCCTCGTCTAGACGTACTTTTCAGAACCTCACCGGTGTTTGTATGCCCTCAGTTTCTGTGACTCTTTCTTCTCAGTACAACACCCTCTCCAAGCGCTAACGTGGCTTCCTGGGGACCTCTGAACTGGCCAGCTAGATGAGCTGCTCTTTCTTTCCATCTGCAGTTTGTGAAATTTGGCCATGATGGAATTTTAAATTAAAAGAGCAACGGGTCACTTACTGAATGAGTATTCCTGGACTTGTACTGCCCAGACCCCAGAGGCTTGACAATCTGTGGCAAATTGACTTGACAGATGTGTATCGATGGCAATTTCTCAGTGAGCACTGTCCTAAATTAATTAATCACCAGGCAATTTAATCTAATTGAGTGCTGTTGCTGCACACAGAAAGCTTCTGTTTATAATGCTCGAGTCAGCCGGGTTTAAATTAAGTCAATTAAAGTGCTCTGTTCCTACCCACTTTTTTCAGCTGAACGTACCTAAGTGTACACAATACTCCACAGGGCATCTTCCTGTTATGAGCTTGTGTCTCTTTAATGTCCTTAGGTTAATCATTTTCAGGCACTGTTTGAGCTATTTTCTGCCGCTGCCTTGAAAAGCATTTGCAGTTCATTTGCAGGCTGCTGAGGGAAGCTGATGAGGTGGACATAAAAAATGGGAGCGAAGATCAGGAGGTCCTTGTTGAGGATAAGCAAACAGTGTGGCTTGGTGCTGTTGGTCAGCAGGTCACCAGTGAAAGCAGCCATGTCAGGGCCAGAGAAGGCTCATGTCAGCTGTTTATGAGCTAGAAGTTCCAGGAACGGATGGAATCAAGCAGATGGTGCAATCCTGGGTGGACAAGTTGATGACCGAAGGGCTCCTTTGTCTTGTGGATCTCTGAGAAACGTCAACCTCATTAGCCCTGTCCTCCCCAGAAAGCCCTAAATGTGTGTGCGAACACAGAGTGCAATTCTTCAGATAGACCGAGAGTCAGTGACACCATTAGCACCATAAGCCCAAATAGCATGCTCCCTTCATTCACAACCTGGGGTCGCCTCCTGCATTGGAGCAGGGCAAGTGGATTTTGGTTAAATACTATGAGATGTTTAGGGTAGGGAGGCAGGCTTTTGAGGAGAGGAGGCTCCACTGCAGCTGATCCTGCAGCTCTGTGGTCCTTGGAGCAGACTATGAGCTCCTCTGGATGTTCAGGGCTGCAGTGGAATGCAACCAGGGCATGTATTAGCCATCCTCTCTTCAAGAAGTGTGCAGTATAGCTGGGATTACACTCTGTCTTTCCCCTAGCATCTTCCTGTCTTTGAAAACTCTCCTTAGGAGGCTCTTTCTGGAGTGAAAGCACAGGTACGTGCTTCTTTCTCTCTGAGACACCTGCAAGATCCACCCAACACAAGGCCATTGCCTTTGTCTTGCCACGGATGGATACAAATGGCTCCGTGTTTTGCCAGATAGAGAGCTGGACATCCATGAAGAGTCAGGTAAAACGGAAGGAGTTCAGACCTGGGTGATCTGGCACCAAGCCTGCATTCCTCTCCTGCTGCAGCCTCTTGACCTCTTGAGTTACTTGGTCCACCAGGTAGTGAGCACTGGCAGGTTAGGCACTAAGTTCCCAGGAGGTCCTTTTTCTGCTCAGGACAGGAGAAGATAAGGGTTGGGTCTCTAGCTGACACTCACTCTAGAAAGCAAAGAGAGATGCAAGTGTTCCTTCCATTGGGGTTGGGGACCTGAGGACAGACAGATTCTCTTGCAGTTCATTTCTGGAGGTGACAAGAGGCACCTTCTAGACCCCTAGTCCTTATCATTGACTCACACGCTGGCTTTATGGACTCTTGCCCAATGGAAGCCTGTGAGCGTTTCAGTCCTTTAGCTGAGCAGCAGTCAGTGCCACCAAGAGAGACCTGCTCCAGACGCGGAGCAGTCAGTGCCCCAAGAGAGACCTGCTCCAGACTCTGAGCAGTCAGCGCCACCAAGAGAGACCTGCTCCAGACGCGGAGCCCCCAGACGCTGACATTCAAAACATCTACTGAGTGAGAGAAGAAAACAGCATCTCAGTAGCAGACCCTCGAGGCTAAGCTTTCTCTGCTGTCACTGTGAACTCTCGTGAAGATTGCGGCTGTTGCGCTACTGGGAATGCTGGAGGAAGAAACAGATCGTGGGAGAAGCTGTGGTTTTCCCCTCAAAGCTGCTGTTTTGACAAGGCGAAATTGAGTATGAAGATTGGGATTTTTTTCTCTTTTGTTGGAGTAGAGTTATGTTTAAAAAACAAACAAACTTAAATCTTAAAAGGTGAAGTAAGCTCCTGTGCAATGTAGCAAAAATATAAACTCCAAGACTCCAGATGGAATATGCACCAAACAACAGGTAGTCAGCCAAGTTATTTGGTGTTTTAAAATGTATGAGGTCAGGGAAACTTTTCATCTTGGTTACTTAGAAGAGCACATATGACAATATAAATGCACATACATACACACTCATATGCATATACACATATATATACATCTTCACATATGTACACATACACTCACATACATATCCATATAGGTTTATATGTACTCACAAAACATACACACATACACTCACATATATAAACACACAGCTTCCTCTCTCTCTCTATATATATATATTATTTAATAATTATTCTTTTTTAAGAAATGACTCCTCTAAACTTCCTCTTGTGTCTTATGGGTACATTCTAAAACAGCTGTGGACCAAGTTCATACAGCTCCTATCCAGACACAAGAGGGGATGGACACAGGCAAGGATGGCTTGTCTGATCCCTGCTTGTGTCAAGAGCCAGAATTGAGGTTGGCAGAGCTGAGCCTGAGTCATTATCCAGCTCACTCACAGTGTGCTGACTTCAGAAGTCTGTCCTTCCATTCGCGTAGGTGCTATGTCCCCTTTCTTTTTTTTTAAAAAAAATTAATTTTTTATTTATATATATATTTTATACACTCTGCATGCACACCTACAGGCAAGAAGAGGGCATCAGATCCTAATACAGATGGTTGTGAGCCACCATGAGGGTGCTGGGAATTGAACTCAGGATCTCTGGAAGAGCAGCCAGTGCTCTTAACCTCTGAGCCATCTCTCCAGCCCCAGCTATGTCCCCTTTCTCAGCGCTCCTCTTTTCATTTTATTTTCATGTTTCCTTTCCGATAAAGGCCAAGGAACAATCTGCGCACAGGTGCTGTCATTGCATTTGTGCCATTGGTTTGGATGCTGCTGTGTTTGCTAAGCCCTTGTGGAGGTTCTCTTGTTTCATAGAATGGGGGCTTTTCTCCCTTTGGTGTGATGGTAATAACAGAAGTAGCTTCTCACTTAGAGCCCTTAGTCAGACACTCTGGGAAAGTTCTCTCTTGATCAGTCTCTATGCTGTCTATAGATAATGGAGGAAGGACCTAGGATAAACTACAAATGAAAATTAAAACCAGACAGAAAATTTTAAATGTTACAGAAATATGATGAAAATGGTAGAATCAGATAAAATGATAAAAATTTTCTAAAGGGAACACAGTATGCCTAAAATTACAGACCGAATATAAATCAGCAGCAGGAGAGGCAAAGAGCAGCGTCTAAAGGTGAGTGCAGAAGATGAAGGAGAAAATATTCAAAGAAGGTGAGAAGCAAAATGAGGAATTTAGAATCACCCAGAAGAATAAATAAAGACAACGACAAAGTAAAATAGAAAGGCAAGAAGATTGAAAAAGAAGTCATGTATAAAAGATGAGTTTTAAATAATTAAAATTTTACTCCCAAATAAATGCAGGTTTGAAGATTACTAATAAGGCAGTAAACATGTACAAAGAAACAGCTCAGAGAGATGTTAGTGATAACCTCTGCAAACAAAACTGACAGCCACTGAGTGTGCTTTTACAACCTTTTCTACACACTAGAAGGTATTACCGAATTAGCTTCAAAAGTGAAATGGCTTAGCAATCTTCTAGCTGAGTTGACATGCCATAGTGTAGAGTCTCTGAGTAGGAGGCCCAGGTCCCTAATGAGTAGCAATGCTTTAGGGAGCGAGAGGGGTGTGTTTCCAGCAGGAAGTCCACCCAGGAGTTTGAAGTGTAGGTGAGGTGCGAGGGTAAGGACAGAGGTTCAGGTGGGCCAGCTAAATCACCCCCAGCTTCTTCTCTGTAATGAAAGCATTACACAGGAAAAAATGATAGCTACGGTGCCGATACAGCATGAAGAAGTATTGCTATGGAGACTTGACTGTAGAAATAGGAGCGATGGGTCGCTTCCTGCTACCCGGCTAGCTTTACCCAAAATAATTACACGGAAACTGTATTCTTTTAAACACTGCCTGGCCCATTAGTTATAACCTCTTATTGGCTAGCTCTTACATATTGATCTAACCCATTTCTAATATCCGTATTGCCACTTGAGTGTGGCTTACCAGGACGAGTCTAATGGGCAACCATCTCGGAGAGGAGAGCTATGGCGACTGCCTGACTCGGCTTTCTTTCTCCCAGAATTCAGTTCTATCTACTCTGCCTATCTAAGC